TCTCTCTCTCTCTCTCTCTCTCTCTCTCTCTCTCTCTCTCCCCTCTCTCTCTCTCTTTATCTCTATCTTTCTCGCTCGCTATTTTCCGCGCGTGTCCCCGAAACGTTCCGCACATTCTCGGTCCTTCTCTCTCTTCCTCCCGCGCGATTTCTCCCTCTCCCTCTCTCTCTCTCTCTGTCTGTCTCTCTCGTATCGTGCCGTATCGTACCGTATCGTACCGTCTCGTACCGTCCCGTCATGTCCTCCGTCGGGGGCCCGCAGGAAGCGCGCCGGGCCCGTCACTCTCTCTCGATTCTCGGCGAGAGAGTGTCTTCGGGGAGATGTACGTCGCGGAGTACGTCTCGGACGTGTAACCGCGCGTCATCGCGCCGACTGATCGGTACACTTCGCGATTAATTGGCGGCCGTTCGCTCTTCGCGCAGAACCGTTCGCTGTGCGCGCGCGACCGCGCATTAGCGACCTCGCAGATTTGCCTGAGCTTTTTTTAAAATTCGAGCTTGCGGCGAAAACGGTTTGATCGATTCAGCGGATCCCCGCAGCTCGCTCGGCGATATTAAATGTCGTCCGCCAGGCAGATTGGCTCGCGCACTAAAAGAATTAAGCACACGTAGCAATCGCGGGCCTGTTGACGAGACTATTCTCGCTGATGTTGTCCTGATTGTCGCAGCGAGCCATGTGTCATGTGTCACATTTGGTGGGGACGTATGTTCGCGAGCGAATTTCATGAAAAAAAAATCCTTATTTAATGAGACAATATTTGTGTACGTTTCAACGAAGAAGTGATTTATCGCGGTGATGTCGCAGTATCTAATGTCAGCGTCATCAAGGATTGACATGCGTGGCAATTTTTGCCGTTGTAACGGCGAATATTTTTCTCGTCCTTCGGGGGAGTTTGTAAATTTCGCGAACTCTGAGTTTCGCTCCGCGCGGATTATCGGCACGTCGAGTCGTCGGAGTTGGATTTCATCGTCCTCAGTGGTTGGCTGTGTTATTGTTGTTGTTGCCGCTTCTTTTTCGCGCCGTTTTATCAGGAGGATGAAAACGGCGCGAAGACGTAATTGAAGTGCGCGCGTAAATCTTTCGGGCGATTCTGAGCGATCGATCTCGTGGATGTAATCGCGGTAATCCCCGGCGCGTTAATAAAAATGACGGGGAACGCGCGGGATCGCACAGGGGATGAAAACGCGCGCGCGGAAATTTACACAGTTCGATCGTGCGCGCCCGATCTCTCGTCGATTTACGAGATATCGAATCAAACGTAATCCCGAATTGCCCGACGTTATTTAAGCGAGCACCTCGGAGATGCTTCATCCGCCTTTCTCTCACTCGAGAGAGGGGGTGTAAGGGGAAGGGGGGCGGGGGATGCGGTTTATTTTGAATCGAAGAATATCGGACTCGCGCGGACGCGGCCGTCGATCGAGAGAGCAGGTGCGATTTTTCGCGCCGAGACACGCGGAAGCGGGTCTATCCTCGAGTGTGTATCGCGCTCGACTCGGAAAGGGCGAGCAGGGGGACGGAGGGTGAGAGCGTTCGCGACCCTCCGTGTGTGCAGTTACTCCGAAAGTATCTCACGTATTCCGAGAGTCACTTCCGAGAGTGTGTTTCCGACGCCTCCTCTTCTTTCCCTCGCACTCGCCGCGCGATTCCGCGGCTCTCACACAGAGTCGCCAGCGGAGTGCGACTTGGCAGTCGCAAATTTGCAAGGTTAAAAGTTGCCCGATCGAATTCTTTATGCACTGTTGCGCGCTCATGTGTGACACGCTCGGTCGTTCAGTGACAAGCGCGAGATGCGTGAGACTCAACGTCCCCCATCATCCCTCTCACTTGCCTCGCACTTGCATTTTCGAACAGTTCCCCCGGAACTAGCCCAAACACCGTGAAAGCGGAGAGAGTGTCTTTTCCCGCGATCCTCTCTCTCCAACGCACTCGGAAGGTCCGGGGGGGTATGAAAAGCGCGCGTTTTGCGAACACGAGTCGCATCATGCGAGAGCGTCGGGATGCACCCGGGAAGGATCGCGTTCGTGGATCCACGTCTCGGTGTCAAGGACGCACAGGACGAGAACACACAGGCGAGCAGCGAGACACGTGTGTGTAAGAAAGAGCGTATGAAGTGTGAGAGATACATGTGAGAGAGTGCGTGTATGCTGTCTGAGTGTGTACGCGAGTTTTCGTACGTCTTTTTTCCTACGTGTATACATGTGCGAGAGATTCACACGATGACGACGATGACGATGACGATGACAAACGACAACAACAACGACGACGATGACGATGACGACGATGACAACACGACAACGTCGATCAGAGCCCGGGGTGATGATGAGTACACACTCTTTCGCTCTTTTTCTCGTTTCTTTGACAGAAATGGAAAAAGACACACGGACACAGTGTGTGTATTCTGTATATATCGTCAGAGAGGTGAGACTTTTCGAGAGTGTTTTCCGAGTACGGGGGGTTCGTTATATCGAGGGTCGGGGATTTCTGCAAATACTTTAGAGCATATAACGATTGAGGGTGAATCACTCTCTGAGTCGAGTTGTGAGTCGCGGACGACTAACCTGCTAGCCGTAAGGCCGACATTCTCTGTATCTCGGGCTCCTGCAGCCACTTCCACATCCGCCGGAAGGTCTCGCGGCCGCTCTTGAGCTTGGACCAGGGCTTCGGGTTGCGCAGCAGGTCGCTGAGCGTGCCCTGGCTGCGACAGAGCACACGTTGCGCGAAGATCGCCTGCGGTATGCTGTACCTCTTGAGCTCCGCGCTGATCCGCTGCGCCAGTTCCTTTGTGTTGATCTCCTCGACCTCGCCGGCGCCGTTGCCCGCCGCCGACACCGTCTTCATCACCACCGACGTGTGTTGCACGTGCTGCGTGTGCGATATCGTCTGTTGCAGCATCGACTGCTGCTGCTGCTGCTGCTGCTGCTGCTGTTGCTGCTGCTGCTGCTGCTGTTGCTGCTGCTGTTGCTGCTGTTGCTGCTGCTGCTGTTGCTGCTGCTGCTGCTGCTGCTGCTGCAGCTGCGTCTGCATCGGCGGCGGCGAAGCAGCCGGTACCGAGTGCGTGGGCGGTGAATGATGCGATGGCGCGAAACTCGCGGTCGCCGAGACGGCCGGCGGCGAAGACGGGCTGAGCGCCGCCGGGCTCTGCTGCAGTCGCGGCAAAAAAGCCGGGTCGTAGTGAGGACTCGCGGACTTGTGCGGTGAATTGAGGCCGCTCTGGCTGTACGCGCTCTGCGGCGACAGCGGACTCGGCTGCAATCCCGCGCCGGGCGAAGGATAGTTGTGCGGCGGCGACATACCCATGGTGGGTAGCTTGTCGTACGCGTACGGCGAGCCGCCCATACCGAGGCCGATGTTACCCAGGCCGTTGTTCTGCATAACGGCGAAACTGCCGGTGACGCCGCCGGCAGCGTGACCGCCGTACACGAACTTGTCGCTCATGGTGGAGATCGGCGGTAACGGCTGCAGCGGCGTCAGAGTCGCGTACGAGGAGCCTGGACTGAAGCCGGGTGGCGACATCCTCTCAGCTACCGAGGTTAGTGTCTGATACGTCGGCTCCGGCTGCATCGCCCTGAAGTCCGTCGCGTCGATCATACTCGCGACCGACACGCTAATCCCCGAGGTCGGCGTTAGCTTTCCCGGACTGAGCAGCTCCGAGTCGGCGTCGCGCGAGTCCACGTCCACGTCCTGAGGCGGCACGATCACCGACAGGGACTCCCGCGCGCTCTGCCTGCCACCGCCGCCACTACCACCACTGCCACTACCGCCGCCGCCACCGCCGCCGCCGTTACCGTTGTTGCTGTTACCGTTGCCGTTGCCGCCACCGACGGCGCCTCCGCCGCCGCCGCCACCGCCACCGCCACCGCCGCCGCCGTTACCTCCGACGCCGCCGCCGCCACCGCCGCCACCGCCGCCGCCACTACTATCACCGCCGCCACCACCACCGCCGACGCTCGGCGGTTCCTGGGACGACGACAGGTCCTCCGCGGCGGCGAGGTCTCGCTCCTCCTTGACGCCGAGCGCGCCAGCAGCGAGCAGTTCCAGCGGTAGGCTCGCGCACGCGATGTCGGGGCTTTGAGAGGCCGACGAAGACATACCCTCGACGCTACCTCCTCCGTTACCACCACCACCGCCGTTTCCTCCTCCTCCGTCACCCCCAACCCCACCGCCGCCTCCGCCCCCGCTCCTACCACCCGCCTCGCCGACCTCGTGCTGATGCTGCTGCTGCTGCTGCTGCTGCTGCTGCTGATGATGGTGGTGATGGTGGTGGTGGTGGTGGTGGTGATGATGATGGTGGTGGTTGCGATGTCTACCCCCACCCACCACGTTGCCCCTACTACCGCCGCTGTTACCACCACCTCCTCCTCCTCCTGCTGCCGTTGCTGCTGCTGCACCTCCTCCTCCGCCGCCACCGCCACAGTTCCCATTCGAGCCACCCCCACCGCCACCCCGACCATGCGTAGACACCGCCGCCGGGGAATCGACCGGGTCCAGTAATTGCTCGCTATGCGGTTGATGATCGGCTATGTTCCCTATACCTTCCATTTACGCACATCTAGTTCGGGTGGGCGCACTGCCACTTGCCGTCGCCGCTCTGTTGCTGCTGCTGCTGTTGCTGCTGCTGCTGCTGCTGCTGCTGCTCCACTATCGTCGAGACACCGTCGCGGGCAACACCACACCGTGCGCGCCGCACACCACCGCACCGTACCGTAAACGTAATCGCACCGTATCGCACCGTACTACCGCGTTACCCCGCACACGGAGTCGAGTTCTCCTGTAATACCTGTAATACCGTGTGTCGCAACTCGTCCTCTTGTACTATTTCTTCTTCTTCTTCTACTACTACTACTACTACTTCCTCTTCTTCTTCTCTGTTTACGTCGACGGAGCCGAACGTCGCCGCGAGATGGTGCTACGACGAAAGCACCCTATATCCACTGATCACGCCGTCACTGCTGGTCACGCTGTCGGGCGACGTAGTAACGTGACGACGACGTGAACGACCTCGGCGAGGACGATCTCGCGACAGCGCGCTCTCGAGAGCGTACAACGAGCCGGCCGCACGACGACGACGACGACACCGTTCCCGTCGAGAACGAAGACGAGGACGACGACGACGACGACGACGTAGATGATGTCGACGGTGACGCTAACGTTAACGCTACTCCACCACCTCCGCCACGTCGGATCGGCATAGGGACCCGGTAGCGCAACGACCACCGTGCGCCCATGACACACGCGGAGCGAGTGAGAGCGCACGCTCCGCGCCCGCGAGAGTGCGAGCGCACCGGCTCCCGGCGGAACGAGAGCGCGTACCTACAAGAGAAACGGAGAGAAGCTCGGGGAGCGCCGCGAGAAGGGGGTCGTTCTCTCGATCTCCGTCTCTTCTTCTTCTTCTTCTTGCTCGCTCGTTTACCCGCTCGCTTGCTCGTTCGTTCGCTCGCTCGCTCGCTCGCTAGCTAGCTCGTTTGTTCGTTCGTTCGTTCGTTTGCTTACTCGTTTGCTCGTCCACTCGCTCGCTAGCTAGCTCGCTCGCTCGCACGCGCACACCCGGTATCCCGACGGGACCTTCCGCTCCGCCCCCTTCCCCTAACGGTCCCTACCCCGACGGTGACTAGCCGTCACTACCAGCAGCTCACCACTGCCACCTGGTCCGTCCTATTACGCTATTACCGCTACTCGCACGGTGTGCTCGCTCTTCTTCGTCTTATCCTTCCGCTCCTTCGTGCTCTTCTGCCTTCCTTCTCTCCACCTTGACACTCGTCTCAGTCTCTTGGTGCGCGATATAGAGAGGGATGCGGCGAGTCGCGCGTGCCGCGCGTTCCTCTCCTGGTCCAGGTGCGATCTCGCGTCTCGATTCTTCCCGTCTCTGCCCTCCCCCCTCCTCACCCCGCCACGTGTCTGTCGCTTCTGCTCGTATGTTCGTACGCGTTCGCGGAGGGGAGTGCGCGCGGTTAGCTGCACGTCCGCTCGCACGCTCACCACCACCACTGTCACTGGAGCTCACCACCACATCGGCACACCGATTCTACCGCACACTCCGGGAGCACTGTTGTACCTGCGCAGTGGTACCGCTACACGCGCTTTTTCACCCTTCGCCGAGGGTGAGACAGAGAGAGAAGGAGCAATAGAGTGTGAGTGTGTCGAATGTGTTTGTGTGTTTGTGTGTATATGTGTGTGTGTGTGTGTCACGTCCGTCCACGTGAAGGCCAAAACCCGCAACGGCGAAGCGGAAAGCGTTCTTCTCCTCGCACAGGGGGTTGCACGGGCTTCTCTCGGTTTCGTGATGACGATGACAACGACAGTCCGGTGTTCCCGGTGTTCGCGCGACTGCTGAACAGTCTCCCCGCGGGAGCTGCCTCGGCGACTGCGAGATGATAATCGCCGAGTGTCGCCGCTCGTACAAGAGCCGACGATCGTCCTCTTCTCGTAGCGTGGTTCCCTCGCGGTCACTCGCTGCGTTCTTCCCGCGCGAGAGTCTCACCGTGCGAGGAAGGTAGAGAGAAAGATAGAGTCACACATACACACACCACGATGACTTGGCTCGTTCGGGCGGCGTTCGTGTTCGCCAACGATAACCTCTCCTACGTAGCTCGGAAGCGCCAAGCACCCTTCTGCGTGGCGAAGTGACAAGAACCACCCCTCAGCCGGCCGGCTAAGCCACCGGCGGAGTCATCCGCGGCACGTTAGTAGAGGTGCGTGTGCGGGCGAACACGGACGCGACTGTCACTACTAGGACCGCGAGCATCACCACCACTATGACGACCACGAGCACCACCACCAGCACCTCCGCCACTACCGCCACCGCCGACACCACCGCCACTGCCGCCACCGCCACCACCACCGCCACCACCGCCGCCGCCACAGTGTCAGTCAGCTTACTATCGATTTTCCGATACCTCGCGACCAACGCAGCTCGATGCGCAGCCAATACTTCGAGCATAAACATCGACTCGCGTCACCTGCGCCCGCCGCCAGGTCCGACCTCGACCCAGCGCGCGACACGAACAGGCAGCTTTCAAGCGGATTCGATTCGATTCGATCGGTGTTCGTCTATCTTGGAGAACGGATACGGCACTAACGGGAGTCTGTGTAGTCCTGTAGACGAGTCGTGCGTGTAGCCCGAGCTCGCGCAACCTCACTCAGAGTCCACGCGCGGAGATACAGTCCGGAAAGTCGACGAACTCTTTGGTAGGATCGTCTGTTCGCGATCGAGGAAGGTGAACACACTTGGGAGGCCTCCCTTTCGCTGTCCCCCTCTTGATACACTGTGCGATCTTCACGGGGAAATCGGCTTTGGGCCCAAGTTCCAAAGTTCCCGGCCAACTTGCTTTTTCCTTCGAACTGGGTCGCTGCAGTTCCGCGACGGAAGTTATTCCATGGAAACGCGCGAACTTCCGACTCGGCTGCATCTCTCCATTCTCCTCCTCCTCCTCCACCTCCTTCTCCTCCTCCCCCTCCTTCTCCTCCTCCTCCTCCTCCTCCTCCTCCTCCTCCGATACGACCTTCTGCCTCCGTGTCGGTCGTGCTCACCAGGTCGATCGCCAAATCAATACGTATCGAACAGGCCAAGCGAGGCCCGCGGCCTTCATCCTCGCAGGGACGCCGATCGAACCTGATGTATCCTTAGGGGATCGCCGCGTTTGCCGATTTCTCCCTTGCCTGCCACAATGATCCTCCACTTCAGGATCGAAACGTCGATACGCCGATGCGCGCGTCGTCCATGACGCGCCGTGACTTCACTCGCGCTCCAAGATGTCCTCCTCTCGGAAGCAGACGCACTCGAGGTCGCGGTCGCAACGATCCGCGACGATAACTCGATCGAGCGACACCGTAGGTGGAATCCGCGCTACGGGGTGGCAGAGAGGGGTCGTCCGATTGGTCGGCTCAGCGTCGATACGGAGATCAATGGCCGCCCGTTAGGTGGTGGAGCGAGGGTGAGAGCGAGTGAGAGAGCACGAGTGGGTGAAAGCGGGTGAGAGTGAGCACGAGCGTGAGCGTGAGTGAGAAAGAAAGAGGAGCGCTGCTGCTGGAATCGACTGGTGTCTGCCTGGCTCTTCAGTCGCGATCGATCGGTCCTCTCTCTCTTCCTCGGACAGTCGAAGTCGTCGCGACAACGACGACGTCGACGACGACGACGATGAGGACGAGAACGACGAAACGACGATCTCGCTCGACAGGCTCGCTCGATGGGAGAGACGAGAGATGACGCGATCTCTTCGTGTCGCACTTGGCAGCGCCGATGCCTCTCACGCTGATCCTCGTCCGAGTCCGCCACGACTCGCCGACGCCGGTGCGCACGCTTGGAAGCGCGCCGCGTCGTGTCGCGACGCTCTCCTCTCTCTCTTCTCCTCTCCTCTCCTTCTTTCCTCTCCTCTCCTCTCTTCCTCAATCTCCCTTGATCCCTCTTTCGCCCTCTGTCTGTCTTCTTTCCCTGCGGTGATCTTCTCCCTTGCCGCCTCTCTCTTTCTCTCTCTCTTTCTCTCTCTCTTTCTCTCTCTCTCTCTCTCTCTCTCTCTCTCTCTC